TCTTTGTGCAAATTGGTGCCAAATGGAGAAGTGCATTTCTGTGAAGTTTAGCTATTGTTTAGCTATCTTCAAATGTTTCTGTGTAATGTTTATGTGTAATGTTTTGTAATGTTTCTTTAAAGTTTATATATAGTTGCATTTGGTATTTTATCTATCACACCTATATTGTTATGTTTTGCCTTGCAATAAATTATCTAAATGGAAATTGCTTTATAGAACCCTTTGCTTCGGATATGCTTTGCTTCAATTCCTAAATTAGTATCTTTGAGTACATCACGGTATCATATTTTTAGAGGCTTGTTTGCATTTCTTATCCACTGAAGCTTGTTTGCATGCAATTTATTTCGGTATTTTGTAAAGCTATGGAGTAAGACATTGCTGGGAGTTTGGATTTTGGTGAGACACTCTAGGATAGCTTAAACTTGTAAGCAACCATTGCTGTCATTACCAAGTAAAGCTACTCTCTTTAAAATGCAATTAATATTGGATTCAGTCCATTGAGGATGTTTTGAAACCTGTAAACATGAAGTGCAATGAACTTGGGGCTGATTTGGAAACCTGTAAACATTAACTGTCTATGAAGTCTGCTTCTTTTATACATGTTGCTGCAATTTGAATGAAAACCTGTAAACAGGTTGCTGCAATTTCTACCATTGTGGAAGTCTAAGATTGCAAGGGAAAAAACTGAAATTCTATCTTCTAAAACCTGAATTTTCATATATAAATACATATACATTTACGGAACTCACAGCTGACCAGCAGAGATCATGCTCTCGAAAGTTGTTTGGTGGCAAGATTGATACGGGATTTATAAATTTCTTGTTAAGCTCCTCAAAAGAATTCAGGGAATTGGGACAACACACCATTGTTCTGTTATGACAAAGCTATTTGGAAGGCATCATTTTATTTTTTTCAACAGGAAAGGAATATGTTGTAAATATATTTGGAGACATTATTGAGTGTGATCGTTGTATATTTTTGTTTTATTACAGTAATGAATATACATGATTCATTTCCCGTGGATGTAGGTTCGCATGAACGAACCACGTTAATTCTTCTTTCTTTATTGGTTTATTTAATTTATTTTATTTAGTCCCTATAAATCAAAATGCATACTTCAATTTATATCTATGTCGTACTAATTTCATGGGTCATTTACAAATAAAGATCTTGTTACAATTGGAATGTTATTTCCTATTTTGTTGCACTCAGGACAAGATGAGCTCACAGATTTCCGGGACATCTTGACGAACACTCTGTTACTGTGGCCTCGAACCCTCACTGCTGATGTCACGCCAACAACACAACTATGAGAGAAAGTTTTATACCTGCACACGGAGCATTGCCGAACAGTGCAAGTTCTTCCATTGGACAGACGGTTCGATTGATTTCTCAAATGATGTTGATCGAGAATGGAGAACATCACTTGAGCAAAGTCTGACACGGGAGCTACATTGTGTTAATGTTAAGAATAATATAATTATCTTACTAATTGTGATTGTAATAGTTTTAGAGTTTTTCTTGCTCTCTTGATGTTATCGTTTACTTGAGATGTGTTTATATAATTTTGCACTGTTATCGTTGAAATTTGGGATTAATAGAAGTCTTGTATCCCCATGAAATCTTTCGTTATGTAAACGATAAATTTTTGTTGTGATATATAACAGAAATGAGTACTTCAACTCGCAGTTTATTTTTTTTCACAATATTTATGTTTAGATATCTATGACATAAATGAAAAATTAATATACTTCTGTTTGACCATCAAATATTGATATTCATAACTTTTTATATGTTAAACTCTAAACGAATATAACAACATTCTTATTACAACTCTTTTATTTCATATTCTTACCTCTCTAACAAGTAAATATTTTAAAATATAATAATCAATCATATAAATTTAACATAACTATTAATAACTAATTACCCTAAAATATAATTTATTATATTATTAACACGTTGAAGTTTTACTAATTTATTACATAATAAATTTTGCTTTTAGAATCTAAAAAAATTCACTGTTACATTCATCTTTTAAACATTTTAACATATAAAGACAGAATTGTCATTTATCCAGAAACAGCTGCAGCTATTTTCACACAATTACACCAAACAAACAATCAGCTTCCCCGCAACAGCTTTCTATGCCAGTGCAGCTAGGGCTGTCAAAAAAGCTCGTTGTTTGCGAACAATTCGTGTTCGGTTCGTCAATGAGTTCGTGTTCGATTCGTTCGATAAGTAAACGAGACAAACGCGAACAAATTTTTTTCGTTCGGTTAGTTAAACGAACCAAACACGAGCAGTGATGCGTTCGTTCGTGTTCGAATCGTTATTGTTTGAAATATAAAATAATATAAAATAATTATATATATATAATTTATTATATTTTAAAATATTAAATTTTATAAATTATAATATATAATAAAATAATAATAATAATAATATATTAATATAATATAAGTTATATAATTAATATATAATATTATTTTTATATATTAATATTAGAGATGACAAACTAGCTCGTCGTTCGCGAACAGCTTGTGTTCGGTTCGTGTTCGGCTCGTTCGTTAAGAAACGAACACGAGCTTATTTCAAACAAACTAAATTTTAAACGAACCGAACACGAACACAAGCTTTGTTCGTTCGTGTTCGGTTCGTTTACACTCCTAACTGTGCAGCTGCAGCTGTGCCAAATAGATCCTAAATCACATTTTTCTAGATTTACATAAATACGACTCAATCCCTATGTATTTTCATATTTACTTCCTAAGCTTTAAAGTTTATTTATATCCCGCCCTACCAATCCATGAAAATGTATATTTCACTTTTTAAAAGTTGAAATAGTAATATTTCTTATGTGATATGTATGAAAGATTTGGGTGGTAGAAATATAAAAAGTAAATTTTAGGCGTTAGACATGTAAATACATAGAAATTTAGCAGTACTATATAGTGCAAAAGCTAATTCATATATATATATTCATATATATATATATATAGCAATAGAGAAAGCAAATTATATGTAAATGCTCCAATTATAATTTTGACCTAATAAAATTCACTCAAATTCAGTTCAGTGCATTAACAGCTCAGGATCTCTGTGAAGGGCTATCACGAGCTTAGCATTATTATGAGCTAAAGTTTTTGGATTATGCTTGGCACAGACAGTGAGGGCTTCTTTGGAACAAAAAATTAAATATTATGTCCAAAGTCCGATATAGACTTACATTTAGACTCCAATGGTGTACTTTTAGTAAATACATAAGTACACGTGATATTCTGCCAAAATACTTGAAAAAAATGAACTTATTATGGACTAAAACAAACTTAAAATAGTATAATAAATTGTTTCCAAACAAAAGAGAATGCTCAAAGTACACCAATACTATTTTATCAAAAGACAAAATAATACACTTTATGTAGAGCAAAAAAAAATTAAAATAGCATAATAATTGCTTCCAATCTAAGAAATGGATTAAATGAATCTTTTCGTAATAAATAATGATGTGCACTCAAAGTCATTCAAAGTACACTTATATTGTTCTATCAAAGAACATTAAATAATTAACTTTATATGTACCAAAATAACCTTAAAATAGCATAATAAATTCTTTTCAAATTAAGGAAATGGATTAAATGAGATTTTACATGATAAGTAATGGTATACACTCAAAATATACTCATAATATTCTGCCAAATTATATGAGAAAAGAGCTCTATGAGCCAAAACAAGCTTAAAATAGTATATTGAATTATTTACAAATTAAATGGAATGATTAAATATGATTTTTATTGATAAATAAGGGTGTACAATCAAAGTACAACAAAAACAACAACAACATGAATCTTTTTTCTCCATCGCGTCTTATTAAGTGTCATATTTTCATTTAGTTATAGTAAATTAAGATTATTTTTTATACAATAAGCCCAAATTTTCCTAGATCTACCTTTATCTTTTTTAACACAAGTCGAATCTAAAACATCTACTCTCCTAATCAAATCATTAGATGGTCGACATTTATAATCAAAGTACACTCGATTATAATCAAAGTATATTTATATTATTCTTTTAAATGACTTCAAATAATGAACTCTACATGTACCAAAACACTCTTAAAATAATATAATAAATTGTTTTCAAACTACATATATGGACTAAATAAGATTTCTCTTTATAAATTAAGGTGACGCTTAAAGTACATTAACGTTGTCCTATCAAATGACACGAAAAAAATCAACTATATTTGAAACAAAACAAGTTTAAAATAGCATAGTAAATTATTTCAAAAGATAACAAAAGAATTAAATAAGGTTTTTCTTGACCGATAATATTGTACACTCAAAGCACACTCATGCTATTTTACTAAAGGAAATACAAAAATCAATCATATATGAATCAAATCTTGCTTAAAATGACATAATACATTATTTTATATCACCATAAAAGGATTACACAAAATATTTCTTTGATAGACAAAAGTATACACACAAACTATACTCAAAGTACACATGCATTTCTTCCAAAGAAAATTTTAAAAAATCAATAATATATGAAACAAAACATGCTTAAAATGACATAATAAATTGCTTTCTAGTAACACAAATAGATTAGATGAGATTTTTCTTGATAAGTAAGGGTGTACATTCAAAGTACACTCATGTATTTCTAACAAATGACATGAAAAAATCAAATATATATATGAAATAAATAAGCTTAACATAGCATAATACATTATTTACAACAACACAATATGATTACATAATATTTATGTTTATAAGTAAGAGTGTACACTCAAAGTACACTCATGCCCATCCTACTCTAATCAGCTTAAGCGCCAAACAAACAAGCTTTAATGTAAAGTGCTTAAGAAGTTAAAACTGATATTTCATTATAATTGTTTTTTTATTATAATAAACATATTTATAAAATAAAATAAATTTAAATTATTATTAAATTTATAAATCATAAAAAGTTATATATACTAGGTGAAAATTTCAGAAGAAATTTGAACTAACCCCCTTCAATTCTAAAATGTTAGCTTCCCATCCCCCTCATTATGCAGTGTCAGAATTCAACCCCCAAATGCTATAAAAACAAACAATCACTAATAAATCTCATTGGCCAATCTCTTCCAGCTTCCTCAGAATCTGTCTTACATCCGGTCTAAGCGCCGGTGAAGGGGAGCAGCAAGCCATTGCCAGCTGATAAAAGCTTCTCAGAAGAGCTTCAATGTTAAAGCTCTGTTCTTTCCTCTCACTGATAATGTCACTGCTGAACACATCAGACATCTTCTGATTGAGCACCAACAGTCTGCAACTCGTCGGATCCTTGCGAGTCAGCATCTCGAGCAAGATGATCCCTAAGCTGTAGATATCTGTCTCTACACTCGCCTCCTTTATCTTCATCAGCTCAGGAGCTTTGTATCCCTCAACAGTGAGAGCGTCAAACATTCCCTGCGCTGCAACTGGTCGGAGAAGGAGATGAAGGCCGAAGTCTGAGAGGCGGGGCTGGAGATCGCGATCGAGCATAATGTTGTTGGACTTGAGGTTGCCATGGATGAGAGGTTTCTGTGATCCGTTGTGGAGGTGATCCAGTCCTGTGGCAATTCCCAGTGAAATGCTGTGTATGATTTCCCATCTGTTAGATAAATTAGACTGAGGACTTTCGCCTGTATACAGATCGTATGAAATCAGATGGGTGAGGTTTAAGTTGCAATTTTCATAGCAAGAATCAAATGGTTTAATGTTGGGACAAAAAGGAAGGAGATGTTTGGATCAGTAGTTTCAGTCACGCAGTTTAAGAGAATCAGTTTCAGAAAAGAGACAATTTTGGGCCCCCTTGTTAGCTTGAAGTTAGAAAACTTATTCAGAAAAAGAAGTTGTAAAATTCTCTTAAATATAATTTGTAAAAGATCGAAAGTCAAAACATTCTTTTTTAAATCTTTAAATGGACAAGGCATCACAACAAACCAAAATCGCCACAAAACACCCTAAAAATTCGAACTTTAACTCATTTTCTTCACAAAAATCGATAGAATTTACAGAAACAGCTTACATCAAACCAAGGAAAGAAGCTACCTTTTAGAAACTGTGCCAAATTCCCGGCTGCGTAGAAGGGATAAACGAAGAGCTTCTCTCCTCTAGGTCCAACGTATAATGACCTCAGAGGAACCAGATTAGGGTGCCGGATGAGCCCAATAGCCCGGATCGCCGGCCGAATCTCCTCACTCCGGCCAATGGAGACCGGTCGAAGGAACCGGAGCAACATAACCGCATTTCCATCTCCCTCAGAGCTTCTTTTAATGCTGGCTCTGTAAACAGTCCCATAACTCGACTTCGCAACCACCTGACCCGGCGCGTTAAGAATGTCCTGTATCTTCAAATGCTCCCCGCCAGCGAACACCACCAGCTCTTCTTCTTCTTCTTCAACTTCCGCGCACTCAAAATCCCCTCTTTCTGGCGACTCTTCGTGGCCCGTTTGTCTGATTAGAACCCTTCTCGTGCGAATATAACAGTAGCAGATACAGGCAATGAGGAGGAGAAAAAGAAAGGGAGGGATTACGGCTATAATGATTCGTACAGAACGAGTCCATTTCATTTTCAGTCGACGGGGTTGTTAGTCTGAGTTGGGGGAGCTCAGGAGAGCTGGTTTTGATGGAAGTTTTAGGGATTTGGTAAAATCTGGTTTGAAGAAGGAAGGAAGAAAAAGAATGTTGATTTGATCTGAGTTCATTGTGGGATTAAGAAGCGGGGAAGGATGAAAGTTGACTAATTGTTAGGGTTTTCTTTGAGGGGAGGAGAAAGAGAGATGAAAGTTTACACCTTTCGGCGGTGAGAGAGAGAGGGAGGAGGATGGAAGAGGGAAGGCTCTGCTAAGTGGGCATGGCGGCCATTTGGAAAGCAGGCTGTGATGGGATTCTGCTACGGTAAAATTGCGGGCGTGTTCGATCCTTCTGATAGGATCAAGTGCGGAGCTATAAATGCGGATTTATTTGGTAAGTGTGGAATTGACTAGTTTTAAATGGCTTGCAATATAATTTTGTATAAGAAATTATTTAAAGTTTAGTAATGCGTAGCAAGTGCCAGCTGGGGTAATTTTATAATTTTTTTTAACTAATTATAAATATATATATAACTCAGTAAATAAAATTGCACATATATGAATTAAAGTTCTATTTTGAGTGTGAATTTATTTAAAAATTGTTGAGCTAATCTTAAAATTTTTATTAATGATAATATTTATGATGATATCTTGGTTGACAATGACACAGTGAAACATATTAGGGGGATGTACAAACATAGCAACGAACTCTTATATATTTACATACTTTAAAAGTAAATTTTCCTTTTTATATTTATACCCTCACCAATCTTCCATATCACATCAAAAATACATATTTTAATGCATAACTCTGAGTACCTTTGCAAATTATCGTGATATCTGGTTGGTGATCTAAGTTCTCAAAAATCCCTCTCACAAATCAATGATGAGGAGATTAATATATACTTTTGTAATGTTAGAATTTATGTCTATAAATGGATGGTTCATGTCATTAATAAGGATGCACTCTCTTTTTTTTCTATTTCTCACTGTACACACACTCTCACTATCTAATAGAACGCTTTATACCTTGGGTGTGTTTCTCTGACTTTTTTGGATTCAATATCAACGATCGTTCGCGGCTTCATCCAAGACAAGCCCTTGGTAATGAAGCTGTTCATACATAAACTTTACACCTAGTCTAAAGAGATCATTCTAGCTTTCCCTTGGTTGAGTGGCGATGAGCTCCCTGACGACCAACAATTCAAAGCACAAGCATCATCTCCCCACGATCGACTAGCAACTCCCACCCGAATACGGTAAATTCCTTGCGAAGTGTGACAATTTTCCTCTCCACCTGATGAACTCTTTCCAGAACTTCCAACAATTTTCTGTCTCTGCCTCTTATAGAATAACTCACAAAATGAAGGAAACACTCCTCCATCTCAATAAGACGATGTAGTATGAGTTAGAAAACACATGATCCCTCTCGGTCGCCTCCTCTTCCCGAGTTGCGCCGGAAGAAACCCAACAACCCACACTCTGGCCCCGTTATGAGTGCTCTGCTCAACACCCGACTCAGCACTCTGATCCTAAGTACCTTGCTCCAATACATCCTAATTCAGTATATCCTCTCCATCCACCGCCACCTGTTTTGTATTTGCTCCACTGACCACAACATGGTTTATGACAACATCATCATCTTCAAGGCCATTGTATGTATCTACTAATACAGAGTCGATAGTCAAAACTCCGATTGTTGCACCGAAGAAAAAAGATACAAAAGGCAATTCAAGCTACATATCCAAAATCCGCCCCCATTCAAATGTGGTGTAAGAAAAAATGTCATCACCAGTTTTCCCAAGTTGTCCGCCTTCAGAGAAAAGACCGTTCTTTGCAAATCAAAGCCTCATCTCAGCTTCGGATGTTGTCTGCTCAAAACCTACCTAGGGAAGCACGATCCTAGTGACAATCTGAGCGGACAAACTCTCTCTTCCGGCAGGAACATCCACCTCTAACGTGTGCCCTATTGGAAGATTGTAAGGACAACCTCTAGCCTGCTCTGCAACACTCTGATGAGATAAGTCTGCATGAAAACCAGAAGAACCAGATCGACCCTCACGATCACATCTCCCTAGCTTAGGCACAACTCTGTTCTTATTCATCCCCTTCGCAGAAGCTTCACTCGCCGGCTTGCGCTTTATGTCGACTTATAAGCCTTTATCCGCATATTACTCGTAGCTTTGGGGAGGGCACTCTTATCGGCAGACGATGCTCCTTCACTAAACATCGCGACAAACACAGAGATAAAAGGACAAAAGACAAAGGATCAGGAAGAAACAAAAATAGTGCAATCTTTCCTTACCTTAAGGTCTATTTATAATGACCGGGGCATGGAAATTCAGGGGAGTACACTACGCAATAATGTCTCTTAATTATTTTATACCCGTAAAAAGATTCTCTTATCTTTGTGTGCAGTTCGGCTTTCAATGAGTAAGAGAATTAGATAACTAAATAGGTATATGAGAAATATATCAACACGATTCTCAAGACAAATGGATGGCTCTAGAAGAAGATATGAACGGTCAGACCTAACTCATTGACGACCGCCTGATTTTGGCATTGACGAAGGGAGTGCCTTGTCTGGGCGATTGGTAGAGCGTGCAAGAAGATCTCTCATAAGGTGGTGATTGGCCATCAAGACGATCCACAATGAGTATCCTCTTGGATTAGATGTCGATGGAGTCAAGGCTCAGCAGCGCGTTCCGTGAATTTCTTGTTAATCGAATCGGTCTTCTAATTTTATTATATGCAAATATCTTTGTAAATTATCAAAAATTCTCTCAGACAAATCAATGATGAAGGGATTAATGTGTATTTTTATAATGTCATGACATATGCCTATAAATAGAGGGTCTATATAATGAATAAAATGGACAATCTCTTTTATTGTTTCTTACTATACTTTCTCTCTTTCTCTATGATAGAACGCCCTGCATCTTGGGCATCTTTCAACAATATATCTTATATATAAATTAAATGAGATATTAACTAGTGAATTGGTTGCCCTTGAGAATGGTCCTAAGTGAGATATTAACTAGTGAAAATGGTGGGGCCATGAATACAAGGTTAGGTTTTATTTTTTTTTTTAATTTTGTCAGGAAAAGGTCTATTCCAGTTAGGTTTGAAGTTAAAGATTTAAGGACGGGGAAAAGCTCATAAGATAAGAAATTTAAATTTAAAAAAATGTATTCCAGCATTTGGATTTGTTTGGGACTTTTGGGTAGACTTGCATCTAATTTTTAAATAAATTTATATTTTTAATAAGATAAGTAGGGACTATGATAATAACATATATAATTGAATAAAACTTTCATCAAATAAAAGTCAATATAAAATGATGTTATGGCTGACATGATCTTTAAATGCGTTCGATTAGCTCTTGTAACTATAATTAACATTTAGTTTTGACGAGCTGAAGAAACAATTAATGATTAAATAAAATAAAAAATTCAGATTTTAAAATTCTCACTTAAATAAGGGTGTGGAAGTGTCAAGATATTATCATCAACTTTGATTTAATTTAATAATCATCCTGACAAATATATATATATATATATATATATATATATATTTGCAAGAATAATAAAATAGTAATCATATAATTTACATTAAAATATTAAACTATTGACAAAAGACATGCAATAATTTTAAAGACAACTTGAATTGATAAAGATGCTTCCTACAAAGTTTATATCAAAATAATAAGAACTTGAGATGATTTGTTCTTTTTGAGGTAATATTTGATAGCAAATATTTTAGCAACACATGAGAATATATTTCTTATTTGATGAGTCATCAATAATTTATTTTATAAAATACAAATCTTGATGTATTTTTTTATGAATGATCTATTAAATTCGAAATTAATATCACTTGGGTCTTAATTTCAACAATTTTATGATTAAATTAACTATCTTGACAAGACGAACCCAATGATGCTAAAGTCGGTTCAACCTGGGTACTATCAAGCTCAGAGGAATTGAAGCATATTTGGGAGCTTCGGGTCTTCAATTGAATTGATCAAATGAATTTCAAAGTTGACATATTTATAGTTAAATTTGAGGTCATTAAGACATTGAAATAATTAAAAAAATATATGTGATCAAAGGAAAACAACAGTGACCATCCGATCAGATGATTAGAGAAGTTATGTGTCAAAAAATCAAAAAATCCCTTTCCAAAAGGCTACAAAAAAAAAAAAAAAAAAAAAAAAAAAAAAAAATTTCTACAGGCTAATATAGCGATAAAAACTCATGCTATTTTCATTATGCTGAATTTTAAATTACTGCGATTATTAGAGCTGTAAAGGTTTTTAGTTGCTGTTTAAATATTTTTATGCATTTTCTTAGATATTTTTAGCAACATGTTTTACAATTTTCTTTAAATAAGCGTCACAACAAATTTTTTTTTAGTGGTAATTAGTATCAGTCGACCACCACCAACTATAGGCTACCGCCGACCAAAACCAGCTATCATTGTCTGCCGTCATCAACCACAGGTTGCGGCGATCCCTGCTTGCAGTCATTGTAGTTTAAATATTGTTATTGTGTCCAATACATGTATATTATTTGTATTGTACCAGTGTAATTTTCAGTATGATACTATAACCACATTCTTGCGCGCTCCTATTCCGTGATTCTATCATTTTTCACAATTTTTTCTTATATATATGTCTGTTCAAATCTTCGTTAAGATATTAATAAAATATTACTTTACCGTCGTGAATTTTCCTACACATCATGATACTATAAGTCAATATTTGGAGCTCAATTTAACAAAATTTTAACCCAATTTTCCCTAAAAATTTCAGTTTAATTAATTATATTCATGTCATTATCGAAATACCAACCAAATATCACATCATTTTTTTAGATGACATATACTTGACGTAAAACGTTACCAACCATCGTAATGCGCGCGCGCCCACACACACACACACACACACACATATATATATATATATATATACACACACACACACATACACAAGCATTGATAAGGCATCAGATTTGTACTGTGATTCTGAAAGCTGGAAAAAGTAAATGAAGGAGCTTTTCTACAACAAAGTGCAGGAAAACAATAATAGATTCATGAACGTACGCTGCAGGTGAGGTTTTAAAACATTGTTTTCATGAAAGTGATCAAATAGGAACGGAAGAAGATTATTGTTATGAGGATTTTTATATTTATGGATTTATAAGTTATCATCTAAAATTAAATTATAAGTGAAATAGTGAAAAATATGTCCGGCCGATGAAACGGGAAAGAAAAAGTTTAAAATTTAATGGTTGAATCAAGTGGGGGTTTGGGCTGCTTGACATGATAAAAATTTAAATTAATTTAGTTTGATTTAAATGATATAATAATATAAATATGTGATT